TCTGGGAAAACTGAGAAACCGGTTCGAAGGAAGTTTGCTGAGGGTGGGTCGAAGCCAGGGGTGCCGACGAGAGGGCCGCCCCCCTCGGCAATCTCCCCAAGGAAGGCGCAACCGAAGTCGCCAATCTTCGCCACCTATAAGGAGAACTTAAACGAGACGTCTTGCGACGAAATGGGTCGATGGCGACGCCGCACCCGTTAGAGGGCTTGTTGAGGTTACTTGTAGGGAGTCATGCGACTTCATTCAAGCTTTCAGGCTTCGCAGTGCCGGGGTTTTGCGACGTAGGGCTTTTCCGGGAGGTCACTTGTTTGAAAGGTTTGGGATTTTTCAGGATGCTTACGGTATTCAAGTTCTGTGGGCGGGGTTATGTTTGAAAGGCTTAGGGCTGTCAGGGTGTTCCGCGATGTTCTGCGAATCCAGCGGTCCGCGTGTTTATATAGTATTTTCGCATCATGGCTTACGGTGTTTAGGGCGGTACTTAGGGACATCTATAGTCATGTTGATCTTTTGGGGGTCAGCGAAGTTTCGTCCAGGGTCCTTTTCAATGTCGTTGTCAAGAGAGTGCTTCGTGTTGGTAGTTCTACAAGAGCTACCAGTTTCAGGCTGTTTCGTTTTCTCGCGTTTGGGTTTTGGGACTCTTCCGATTTGTTAGCCGCGGGTTCGCAGTTTAGGGTATTGACGGCATTTGTTTTAGGCTCGGTGCTTACATAAGGCAAATCATGCTGAACGAAGAAAAAACCTTAACCCTCGAACCGAAACCATCCTAAACCTGAATCCCGAAGTCCTCATAATGCAACTCAGACAGCCCCTCATGATAGCCGGTGCATCTCCAGCCTGGTCTGCCGTCAGCAAAATGTTGCCGGGCTTTAGGTCGCGGTGGATACAGGGGAGGCCGTGCATGTATTGCAGGCCCTCCCACACCTGCGGAGCTCGACAGGAGCCAGAGATGCCAGAAGCTTCTGTTGGGAGGCCTGTGCCACCCACGATCGACCAAGTCCAGGGGCTTGGTAACCACCGTCACCATCGCGGCAGGAAACGATTGCCTCCTCCAGGCTGCCTCCCGAACTGAAAGAGAATCCGGAAACGGCGACAGCCTCCACGCACACGACACAGACGAACACAACCCGACGCAGCTCCCCGGACGCGCGGGGCTGGGCATCTCGGCGAGTCGTCCAGCATCCATAAAGCTACCTCCAACTTGTATGCACGCGCGCGTGGGGGATACTACGTAGCTATTACGTTGATACGTGCTCGCCCAGAAGACACATTTGAGATATTCAGCTGCTTGCTAGCATCTCGGTGAATCATACTACGTATTGTGTTGATGCGTTGGGCGGTTTCTGCGCTACGATAAATCACACAATCTCACGCACACATACATGGAACATGCGGTGTACGCTGCCACTAGAAACGACACAACCTCCTGGTTCACAATATGACCCAGGACGCCGACAGGAAGAACCGCGGCGTTCGGGACGCGAAGTGCGCGGCGCTCTAGGAGAAATCGCACCGTTGCCACTCGCAAACAACTGTCCTGACTCCTGGTTCACAGTAAGGCCTAGGGCATCCAAAAGAACAGGCAGCGCACGCCGTGCCACCAGAAACGACGCAACACCCTGGTTCATAACATGACCCAGGACGCCGAAAGGAAGGAACGCGGGGTTCGGAACTCAAAGTGGGTGGCACTCTATGGGAGAAATTGCACGAATGGGCACTTTGCTTGATACAGGAACAGCAGGAAGACGTTCACACTGAAACATATACATGCATGCTGAACCGGTGGTGCCTCCCGGACAAAGCTCCATGACGATTCCGTCATCGTCCGGGAGGCTCGCGAGGATTTTTACCAGATGTGGGTGGGCCAAGCCCAGCATCCGCTTCTCCTTCAGAGGGCATTCCAGCAATGTCCACACGTCAGTTCTGAAGCGAAAACGCTCCTGGCTGAGTTGGCCGGTCCCTGGCACTTTGGCGAGCTTCACGGCCACCCTGAAACAACTCGCAAAGGGCATATCATCTCCTCCCATGACTGGGGGTTTGCACTTGCCTCGCGCCCTGGTACTCCCGAACCACGACCACCGCAAAGGCTCCCTTGCAGAAAAAAGGAAGCACGTGATAGCGGGCACAGCCAGACGAGGTTCTTGGGGTTTAGGGTTTAGGGGTGCTGCAAGCAGCCAAACCCAGGCCTTGCCAAGGATCTCCATTTGGTCGACTATTGACGGGAGGGAATGGATGGCTTTGCTAGCTCGTAAGGGCCTGATAGCTGCTGGCATCACGTGGAAATGGTTCGATGTCAGTCGGTAGAAGTCTGCGGCAGAGCGCTACCGCGAGCGCAACAACAGGCAGCTGAGCGGAAAAGCAACTGGTGCTGTGTGGCCCCGCTTCACGGCTTCGGTTCATCAATCGATAACCTTAGCCCTGGCCGATTCAGATCGTTACCAAACACCAGATGCGATTGCTAGGCTAGACATGGCGATGGGGATCGTCACGGGTCACTACAAGGCCTGCCAAGGCGTCAGGATCCTCTGCTCCCACATTACATCGCAAGATTACAGTAAACTGGGCCCCAAAACCTACACAGAATTACTACGGCCCCTATACTAGTTCAGGTCTTCGAGAAGTTTGGATGACTCGGGTTTACCTGGTTTCATCGGGGACTGTAGCTTCTAGAAGCAGAGCCGTGTCGCAATAAGAACATACAAGAACCGAGGCAGCCCAGGAATGGAACTGCATGGGCGGCTATAGGTAGACACTACACTCCTTTCAGAATCCTGATATAGGGGTTGTCGTAAATAGAATAAGCATCTAAGGAAAATGGAGGTAATCTGTATAGAACTGCAAGCCCAACACCCGATGCCGATATACAACTTCTAGGCCAACTCGGAAGGCTTAGATAAGCTCGTCTGGCCGGACCATTCATATGCAGGGAACTCAAACCCTCAAAGCGCCCCTGACAAATCCTTGAGAAACGCACTAACCTGTGTAAAGGCGCTTCTTTTTTTTTTTAACACCTCTTTTCCGACTGCTCCGAAGGTTAGTAGGAACACCAGGTTGGCGGAGGGACAGAAAAGAGAGGCCCAAAGTCGATGGGATTCACCACCGTTACCACTCAAACATACCCATGTACTAACACTATGGCCTCTCCATTTCCACCTTGCGTGCCAGTTTCAAGCCTCCCACCCGTACAATACAAAGAAGATAAGTGATATATCCCAACCAAAATTGCACCTGGGCATTGCGAAACTGTGGCACTGCCTAAGCTGAGACACTGGGCATGCTGGTACACTGTAACAAGCAACAAGACATGACTAAAACTCGTACCCATCAACCAACAGCCCGTGTCACTGCCCAAGGCATTGTCAGCGGAGCGAACTCAACGCATGACAAACTGGCAAGCAGAAGCGCTGCATTTCCGGCTAAAGGCGCTTCTACAACCCAGAGCCTTTCTAAAGGCTGAGCTTGCCCCTTGCCTTCAACCTCCTCGGACACCAAGTACGAGTACTTGCGGAACCCGAGAAACGCTGTGATTTCTCAGTGGCCCAGCCTTAAAGCCCACATCTGCGACCTGCGAAAGCTCAGCAGCCACGAAATCCAAGCTTACCACAAGACCCCAAATCGTCTGCAAAGCAACGGAACCGATGATCCACCAAGACGCCTGTACTCAGCTAAGTATCTCCCCCCCCCCCCCGCCGGCGAAAGCACACAATTTTGAAGCAGTTCATGCATGTAGGACGACTCACCAAGATGGCGGCAGGCGGCTAAGTATCTCCCCCGTGGTGTAGGCTCACGCATAATTTTGGATGAAACTCACGAGACGAATCCAAGCAGCTAAGTATCTACCCCTGCACGTGCACAATGTTGCAAGTAATTCCATGCATGTACGATGACTCACCGAGACGCCTGCAGGTAGCTATCTCTCCCAACCCCCCGCGGTGCGCGCACGCATAATTTTGGAAGTAGTTCCATGACTCACCGAGACGAACGCAAGCAGCTAGATCTGTCCCCCGTTTCCTGAGCACGCACACACTGTTGCAAGTAATTCCATGCACGATGACTCACCGAGATGCAACTGCCCCCAATCCCTCGCCCCTGCGCATGCACATAATTTTGGAAGTAACTCCATGCATGCAGAGCGCAGCCATCGGGGCCAGACTCATTCATGCTTGTAGGGTTAATGGTGCTCAGGCAGCGGGCAGAAGCATCTCAGGCAGGTATGATGGAATCGAGGCGTGTCACGAACACCGCATCCTTGACTACAGACTCGAAAAGCTCATGCTCAACATAGGACATGCCAGCGAAGCAAGTGGTCTTCAGGGACAGATCACATGACATCTTCCACACATGACAACCGTTCGAGGAGCACAAACATGCTGACACTGCGGGGCCTTGATGACCAATGGTGGCAACTTGCCCCGCCAGACCTATTTGGCCGCGAGGTGTGAAAGAAACAATTTCCGGTTCTGCGCGTGAGCGTGTTCTGCGTGTACCCAATTCTCCGAGACATGCACCAAGACCCGCGGGTGGGAGGATTTTTGCCTGATATGCCTGATCCGAGCTGCGACAAAGCTTGTCCGAGAAACCGTGCTTGACAAGTACTGCAAATGGCTTTGCCAGTGGCATGAGGTTGATGCCGGACAGCCGCAATGGAGCACCGAAAGCTTCTCCGGCGGATTCGGCCCCTTGGCTGGCCTTCGAGCAAAGACACGGATGCTACAACGCTGTCGACGCGATCTTCAGGCTGGCCTCTTCTGTCAAAGTACGAGCAGCGCAAAGGCACATTGCAACAGACCGCCATTGGCACCTACAGCTAGGCTTGGAAAACGATACCCCTCAGCTGCAGCCATGAGATCCAACAGCGGCGTTGCCTCAACGCGATGTGGATGTCGATGGCCTGCGCCGCGCCGCACCCGTGCGACTAGTTATGGCCAGTCGTCGCAGGTTCGCTGCGCACAAGTTCAACAGCAGAAATCTTTTTTGAAAGCATCAAACATGCCACGGACATCTCACTCAGGCTTCTTGCCAATCATCGGCGGCTCCGAAACGTTACCGTCCCAGAACGCTGTGCAACAGCCGAGTGGTCTGAAGCCGCTGTACACAAGCATATAGATATCGTTTTGGACGACCTCTGGATTAAAGCCTCTCTTTCTCAGCTCTTCCTTCTGGGCCTTGCTCAGCATGCAATGCTGGCGAATCTTTTGAAGCGGAGGCAACAGCATTCTCCTTGCTCTGTCAACCTCTGGGTCGTGTTTGAATGCCAGACATGCATTCGTCTCGGCCGAGTGCTTCTCAGCTGGCACATAACCCCCATAGTGCCGCCCAAAGAAGGCAGGTGTAACTAGCTCGACCAGGTAGTTGATGTTGTCGTCTGTGACGTACTCGAAGTGGTACTCAGGCTTGCGTGCGTGTGTATAGCGTCCCAAAAAAGCCTGAACAGCGTTCCTCGGAGCCATGCTCTCCCAGAGAGAATCCTTAAAGCCAACTTCCTCTTCCATGGTGTCTGCCAGAGCTGCGAGCTTCCCAGTCTTGATGCCTTCCAAGACATTCTCCAGGGTGTCCTCTATCGGCCGGACGACCGCAGGCTCCTGTGAGGGCAGTTGGGTGCTCTGTGTGTCCTCCAAGGCAAACTCAACTTTGACAGGGGCCTCTTCGTGCTTCACCTCTCCGGCCTCTTCGTGAAACATCTCTTCGCCCTCTTCGTGCTTCACCTCTCCGGCCTCTTCGTGAAACATCTCTTCGGCCTCTTCGTGCTTCACCTCTTCGGCCTCTTCGTGAAACATCTCTTCGGCCTCTTCGTACTTCACCTGTTCGGCCTCTTCGTGAAACATCTCTTCGGCCTCTTCGTACTTCACCTGTTCGGCCTCTTCGTGATACATCTCTTCGGCCTCTTCGTACTTCACCTGTTCGGCCTCTTCGTGAAACATCTCTTCGGCCTTTTCCTGCCTGCAGGCACTTACGCTCGATGTTGGCTTCACGTTCTGCCTTTTGAGGCTATTGAGGCTTCCAGGGCCCGTGAAAATTGGCCGCTTCATGACGCCAGCGGGAGACACCAGCTATCTCATGGCCAGCATGAGAAACTGATCTGCTAGTGTGCTTAGCTGGCTTAGCTGTACTGCACTTCTCGAACTAACGTGACCCTCAACAAACCTCGTCATTCAATCGTCATACCACAGATTGGCTGCGCTTACACAAGTGCCGACAAGTGCCGTGTTGCTAGCAAACGCCGAACTGGCACAGCTGGAGCCGCAAAGTTCTGATGCACATGTAAGACTGGCAGTTGGAAGTGCTGCAGCTGTGCCCGCTGGCAAAACATACCGCCAACAAGGATGCCTGAAAGCTGGCGGTGCAGACTCGGCAGAACCTTGTGCTGGCGAAACCCTGACAGGCCTGCTCAAGCATGCCGAAGATCATGAAGAGCGCACCCTGCACTCCCGCCTCGCTTACATGCAGGGGGGATCGCTTGTAAACAAGGGCGCTTCCCATAACCGTCTTGGATTTTCCGACAAAGACGAACGATGTGGCTATGGTTCTAGTGCGACAGGCAACATAGCATAGAAGCTGTGAGGCACGTCTTCGCTGCAGGAAGGCCGCTGAGGCTGTCACTGCAATTGATTCATCGTATACCTTGGCAGCGAACACACAACACGCACACACACACACACACATGGACTCGGTGCTCCGCAAATTTGCAAACTCGCTCGAGAAGACACTTACACAGTAAGGCTAGTAAGGTTCCAAGGGGAGCCGAGACACCTCAACATTGATAAAGTCGCTGACATGCTCGGTTTGATTGAGTAGACCTTAATTGGCGGCTGGAATCTGATTGGACAGAGCTTCAAGCACTGGCTCGTGGCGCTGGCAGCCTGGCAGCGTTCTCACTCCTGCGATGGGTCGACCTGCAATGACAAGGAGACGAAAGTGGGGCAGCATAAAAACATCAAACGACTTCGAAGCAAGCGAGCCAAACATGGGACAAAAAAGCGTGACTGCATGAAGAGACCGGACAAGCCGTCATTCTCCGCTAGACGCGAAGAGAAAAGTTTTGGCAGGGGGACTGGCACCTAAACGCTCAAGCCAAGCGCCCATGAAAGAACCAATTCGCCTCGACCCCGGCCGAAGCTTTTCAGAGGTTCCTGCACCACCTCTTCATCCCCTTTTCAGTGAACCCCCCACGAGAAACTGCCCAGTTGAACCCATGAAATTGCCACCAGGTCCTACCGTGAAATCTCGCCTCCTGCGATGGATTCGGGCTCTCTGTATGGCAGTCCCCAAGTGCCCCCTCGCCTTGCAACCCCCACTCCCCCCCCCCACCCTCACCCTTCGACGTTTGCGAGTTTTAGGATTCTTTAGGGCTTTCCAAGTTTGAGGGTTTACTCGCCACAGTTACAAAGTACCGCGCTTCTATGCAGAGGACATGCGCAGAAGCAATCCCCTGTACACTCAGACTGCTGGGTTTTGGCACCTGCAAGATCTCGGCTCAAGAATTCTCTTCGGCAAGGCAACTTTTCACGGGGTAGCAATGCAGGATGCTTACCTTTGACAAACACATCCAACCAAGTCGGCACATACGTGTGCAGCCGGGCCGAGCCGGTCGACGAAGCGTTTAAAACTCTGTATCAGTAGACTGCTAAGAGCCGAAAAAAGCGTGGAAGCCAGGAGGAGTCTTGACGGAGTGCAGCAGAACATTTGTGCGTGCGTCCAAGCGCACACACGTGCCCACACAGTCACTGTCTTCAAAGCCAGTCGATGGGTGTTCGTGTCCACGGACCGAGCTGCCACGCCTCATCTGGTCAACCCTTTCACAGCAAGTGGCCCAGGGTTTTGCAGTTCTTCGGGCAAGGGTTCATACCGGCGTTACACCTGCGTGCGCCCTGAATGTTATGTTCTTGAGCCCCCCACACAAACAAGAAACTGACAAGGATTCTACTTTGCATTTATGCATTCTTCTTCCACAAAGCCAATCGGAAAGCGGCGCTCCCCTCCACGCCCGAATGCGCACTGGTCTCATAGTCCGGAGTGAGACCGGCAGTTCGATGAGGTGAGGGCTGCTCTGTCAAACTCCCTCTCTCTCTCTCACACTTCCTTCTCTCTTACTTGCGTCCCAGGCCTGCGACACCCGGAAGTGGCTCGCAAACATGCATGTTTTGGCAGGGTGTTCCGACATTCTGCCACTGCTGTGTCCGCTGTCGCGTGCATGAGGCGGGGAGATAAATGCTAGTAGCCTCTTGCAGTCGTCCTGCCTGCATGAAACTACTTCCAAAGTTGTGTGCGCGCGCAAAAATGGGCGCTCACACAGATGCCACACTTGAGATATTCAGCCGTTTGCTGGCGTCTCGGTGAGTCATCCTGCACGCAACACACCTCCACCTCTAAAATTGTGTGTGCGCGCGCGGGCGAGGGGGGGGCGGGCGGGGGAGATAGTTAGCTGCTTGCAGTTGTCTCAGTGGCGTCTCGGTGAGTTATTCTACTTTGTCCTAAATGCATGCATTCAACACACTTCCAAAATCGCGTGCCCGGAAGCGGGGGGCGGAGATAGTTAGGGGTGCCCAATCACTTCTGTCCTTAATTTTGGGGCCACTTGTGCCGTTTTTTCCTGGGTCGCTTGTGTCTTTCTTTTCTGGGTCACTGGTGTCCTTTTGCTTCTTTCGAAACAACAGTCTCGAGCGAAACCCCTTTTAAGATCTTTTTGCCCAGCCCTGGGCTGTCGGTCTGGGTTTATTCCTTTTGGGGCTTCGGCCTGGGTGTGCTCCTGTGTTCTTTCATTCGGGTTTCGGTCTGGGTTTACTACATTTCCGCCTTCGGCCTGGGTTTACTCCTTTTAGGGTTTCGGGCTCCGTTTGCTCTTTTGATGGGCCTTCTTATTTTAATGTTTCTCTGTTCTTTCATTCGGGTTTCGGTCTCGGTTTACTCCTTTTGTGGCTTCGGCCTGGGTTTGCTACTGTTAGGGTTTCGGGCTCTGTTTTTTCCTGTTTTCGGGGTTCGGGCTTCGGTCTGGTGTTACTCCGTTTAGGGCCTCGGCCTGGGTCCACTCCTTTCTGGGGTTTCGGGCTCCACTAATTCCTTCTCGGAATTAGGACGTCGCTTTTTTTGGGGTTTCGGTCACGGTTCAGTCCTTTTTAGGGCTTAGGGGTTTGGGTTTACTCCCTTTAGGGCTTCGGTCAATTCTGCCTCGCTTTGTGGCGTCGGTCTGGGTTTCAGCGTTTTCAGGGTTTCGGTTTCTTTCAAGCTTACGTGTCACTTCTTTTAAAGTATCGGGGGCGGTGTACCATGTTTTCGCTTTGGACCATCTTTCACTGGGGTTTCGGTCTGGGCTTACTCATTTTGGGGCTTCCGCCTGGGTTTCATCGTTTTGGGTTTGGGCTCAAGCATACCTGTCGCTTCTTGCAGGGTATCGGGCTGGCTATTTTGGCCTACGGTTTCGGTCTGGGTTTACTCCGTTTAAAGCTTCGGCCTGGGTTTGATCGTTCTTAAGGTTTCGCCTTTCTTTCAAGCGTAGCTTTCGCTTCTTTCAAAGTATCAGAGACGGTTTACTCCACTTTCGCTTTGGGCGATCTGTCATTACGGATTCAGTCTAGATTTACTACTCCTTTTAGGGCTTCGGCCTTTGGGTTTACTCTTTTGGGGTTCCGGGGCCCTTTACTCTTTCTATGGATCGGGCCTTCTCATTTTAGGGTTTCGGTCTGGGTTTACTCCAAACCATCGGCCTGCCTGTACTCCTCTGCTCTTTCATTCTGGTTTCGGTCTGGGTTTACCCCTCTTGAGGCTTCGGCCTGGGTGTGCTCCTGTGTTCTTTCATTCGGGTTTCGGTCTGGGTCTACTCCATTTCCGTTTAGGGGTGTACGCACGCTCTGCTATGGCGATCCAACCTCCCGCTCCCCTTAGCCACTAGCAAGGAAGCTTAACTCCAAGGGTTAAAGGAGGGAAACAGGCTATATAATGGGTATGTAATAGCTATTTGAAGGGTATATACCTAGGGGTCCTGATTAAGGGTCCCTCCTTTTGCCCTTGGATTAAAGTTCTTAGATGGGGTTTAGGGTTTAGGCTGCAACAACTTCCATTTTAGAGCCAGAACCCCTACAAGGCCTCAAGCCCCGTGAGCCTTGTATAGGGGTCTTGATAGTTAGAACAGGATTCATTCACACAAAGGTTCTGGGAGGGTTTCCATAAATGGGTTACCAAAAGGGCGGCAATACCGGCTGAATAGGTCCTGGGGTCTACTACTATAGATGCGGATACACTTCCAAATTGCTCCGGGTCCGGCCCTATAGTAAAGAGCCAACCCTATAATCTCTTTAAAACCTCAAACCCGCAGCCGGCCTGGGTTTACTCCTTTTAGGGTTTCGGGCTCGGGTTTCGGCCTGGGTTTACTCCTTTTTTCGGGTTTCGGTCACGGTTGGTGTATACTCTTTTCAATTTCTGGGCTTGCGCTCCCGATCAGCCGATTCCTTCCCACACCGTCGCCTTTGCCAGATCATCTGTAACGAAACCTCACAGGCGTGTCTGCCCATTGGGTTCCTTTGGAGAGGGGTCGTAGCGTACGTCAACACAACGTGTCCTGTCCACATGGGCTTGTGTTCACAGCCCGGCCGTCTGATCAGCGGATTTCTCTCCACCCTTGCCTTTGCGAAAGCTGTACCCAAACATGTACGCTCCTATGCACACACTTGCACTCAGAGTCGTGTCTGCCCAGTGGGTTCCTTGCATGGGAGGCCAGTACTATACTAGCATGCGCAACCACGTACCGCCATACCCAGGTGGGCTTGCACCGACAGCCCGCCCGTCTCATCAGTGGATTCCTTCCCACCCGTGCCTTTGCGAAATCTGCGCCACACGTCGCTTCTATGCACGCACGCCTCGGGAAGCCACTGTGGTTTACCGGAAACCCAGACCACCTACCGCACTACCTGCATCGGCTCAACGGATTCAATCCCAC